GGGCGGCTGCAAGAGGGCAGGGAGGGGCGGCTGCTGCAGGGCAGGGAGGGGGGGCTGCAGGGGGGCCAGGGGCGGCGTAGAATGAGGTGGTTGCGGTGTACTCCGGAGTATGCAGTAGATCGTGTGACCGAGAAGTAGCAGGGAGCGGCTGCAGTGGGGCAAGGGGCGGCCGATTACGGTTTCGCCGGACTGTGTAAACGGAGACGGCTGCCATGGAGTAGAGTTGTTTGGCTACCGAGGCTGATGGGCAGGCGCAGAAACAGGCAGCAGGTTCGGGGCGCGGGTCATGTTGGTTTTCTATGATGACGTGAACACGGGGATGATAATTAACCATCCCCTCCCTTTTCGTGATGCTCCATGTTTTTTCATCCAAAAAGTGGCGTTATGTCTAATTCTAGCTCTTCGAAGTACTTTCATCACACTGGACAGATATTACGTCCTGTCGCTGGGTATGCCAAAATTCCGCCTTTTCCCGGACCAGGGGATGGTAACGCACCATCCCCCCCCATCGAGCGGATTTTTTTTTTTCTCTCTCCAATGTCATATGTGATCGTTTGCCAAAGTTGTCCGACGTCCACCGTGCCCAAATGGCACGTTTCCGTCAATATTCTTCAAACCTTGCTTATATTCCCGGATTTCCAAACCTTGCTTATATTCTCGGACAGAGGGAGTATTATTTTACGACCGTTGTGATTGATAGCTGGGTAATTGAAGAAATCGAAAACTACCATCTGACGGATTGCTGCCAAATAATTTGGATTAAACGCGCGATTGCACCAATTTTCGGACAAAGAGGGATTCGAACCCACGGTAGCTATTAAAGTGAAACAGTATGCCCGCGGCCGTTGGCAATTCTTCCAGTCTCGCCCTCGAGATCCCTTATCGCGTGCCGCAAATGGATCAACTGTCGCAGCTAATTAGTGCAGGATGTTCAGAGCCTTCCGCTGTTTCGTGCTTGGCAAGATTCACTCGTTGAACTGATGGATGAATGTGTCGTTTCATTCAACGGCTTTATCAAAAGCCAACATTGCACGTTGAGAAAGTGGGCTCACGGCAACCCCGAAACTTGAGAACCAATCTAAATACCAACTGCAGGAAACAAAACACACCGTGTTCGACATAGGGCGGCAACCATGCCTGAAGAAATGAACGCCTACTGTAGTCGATCTTCCTTAGGAATGCACAAGAGAGTTCATCCAAAGGTTACAGCGGCCACGCTTACGAAAATAATCTGAAACTGCCCTCGCCCATATCCAACATGGGGATCCACGGGCGGTTTTGTGCCAGTGTACATTCTCTTGCTCAAGAAACAATCATACGCTTCAGCACGTTAAACATGGCAAAATGGCGGTAGCGACTCAGCCCGCAATACGCGCCTACAGCTTTGTGCGGACAACGCTTTCGAACACCCCTGCGCTGCAGCTGAAGAAACCTACCTCCACCTGAGGTGAAGTGATCTACTAGCCTTGCTGGAGTCCGCCGCAGATAGGCAATAAAGTCTAGTCCTGCTGGGGCTACAACGCCACCATTTCAGAAAACAATCCTCTTGTGACGCTTCCAGCCACCGGGTCATGATTTCTTCTTCTGAAACATCTTGGAGAACGCAGATTTCACTGTCGACCCAAACCTGGCCGTTTCGTTGCACCGAAAGGAGGCGGGTACACAACAGACGATGGGGCACGGGAAACGTACAGTTTCAGTGGCATGAAACGTCACGAGAGGGCCTCAGGCACAACGCGGGCAAGTGCGGCCTTGCGAAATGTGGAAGCATCAATACAGGCGTGTCGATAGTGATCGCTTGGACAAAGCAACCGCACTTCACAACGAAGGACTCGAAAAATGACTATGTACAACCGATATGCTATATACGACCGATATGCCATTGCCCGAAAATAGCACAAGCCCAGCTCAGGGACAGAATGAACGATTGCCAGATTTCCTTCCACATGATCAGAATTAGGTATTTTCAGTAAAGAAACACGTGACACTGCTGTGGGTTCGAAGAGTACAGCCTAATATTTCTTGCTAAACCCTGATGTGGCTGCCTTCACATTCACAATTGGCGTGAAGCGAAGTAGACATTCTGCACAATCGGACGAACAGATCTTGGCGACACAACAACGACCTCCAAATATCGCAAAGAAAAAAAAAAAACTAATGTTCTCTAACACAACGTAGCCCAATACCGTATCCCAAAACCTATGACCGAGACACTCACTCTAAAGCACGCGTCCAAAACGAGAAGCTTACCATCCTGTCGCGGTGAACTTGATCGTCTCAAAGTCGTCGCTTGCGTGGTCCCAGGGTGACCCGAACACGTGCAATCGCTTGACCTACCGGGTCAGCAGGCGAGACAGCAGTGTGTTTCTTCAACTAGAATCGAACAGCTAACCGGCTGACCAATTAAAAAGCGTCAAGGATTGTGCACGTTAGATTCTACTCCGGAGTGTGTATTTTTTTTTCGGGCGCATCCAGCGGGAGTAGGATATTGCCCATCTATCCATAGTCTGCACTGCCTGTCTGAGCATTATCGCGAGGAGAATTGAGCCTTTCGTTTTCTTCGTCGACCGGTGAAGTCAATTGTGTTTGTATTCACGAGGAAATAGTTGATCGTTCACATTTATCCCAATTCGTGCGACCGGCCCTAAATTCTAACTCAAGTTCTTTCGTAAGCTTCGAATTTACTGGAATACTGTGGCGAGGGAAATAAAAACTAACGTGAAGTGATTTGATGCCACTGAGGTGGAACCAACGTCGTGTGCGTTCCCGACTTAACTACATGCGGTGAGCGTTCTTCTTGTTGTGTAAATATGATGTATCGGTGGAGTTTCAGGATGTTGAGTCTCGCTTGGATCGAATCGCTCTCCATCGCATTTCCTTCCATCAGTGCTTTGTTTTTGGAGTAGCTTTCGTCTTGACGTCAATAATTGTTCCGAGCTACATCCGGCCCGCCCTGTCAGTAGTGTAGAAAAGCTAGCCTTGCGTATATTTAGCTGCAGAAAGCACGGTTTCACAGCTTGTAAATGTACACTTACGAAACATTTCTCACGTAAAGAGATCCGCCGACAGCCTTAGCCCGACCAAGCTCACCTCAACACCAGAACCGTTCTGAGGTCCGCTCCCTGGGCTACCCCCGGATTCCACCTGATCTGCGGCGCGCGCAACCAAGCCGTTGCCGACTTCGTGGGTCCATAAAACGACTCCCTCACTGTTTCTGACCGATGGGTATCTTCACAGCAAGGGGAAGGAGTGGGTGGAACTCGTGGTTAGACGCAACGCTGAAAGAAAACATCAACAAGAGGCACCCAACGTAACTTGCCCCAGCCGAAAGGCGTGGACGATCTTGAATGCGCTGCTTGGTCGGCCGCTCGCACGGTGGCCAGACTGGCATGCGTGCCACTCCCCTTTGAAGGAGAACCCATCATACATTCCACCACAGCCTCCCGATCAATGCTACCGAAATAACGTTGTAGGATGGTGTACATACAGTACGTCGGGACTAACGCACCCCAAGTCCACGAGCTTCTTGGCGTACTGGCCGGAACGGAATCCAACTGTACAGTACGGCGCCACGACACCCCAAGCCTCCTCGCCTTCCCCGGAACGTCCTTGGAACTTTTTCCCGGTCCTAGCCGCCTCTCCCAGGCTGCTGTTCTCGAACTCTTCCCTGTGTTTCTCTCAAGACGAGAAGGGCGTAAAATATCAGGCTTGCTCCTGCCGCGGTCTGGGAGGCGGGGAGCGAAGCGAGCGGATCGCACGTCTTTTTTGTTCCCACTCGCTGAAAAGACGTCAGCACCCCCTTCGACTGGTATTTTCGAACGGTGACGTCTTTCTTTGGCTGTTGATTTCTAGAAAAAAGAAACTCATGAGTGCGTAGCAGACACACACAGAGGCGGCAAAACTTCCTGTCGGCCATTTCAGGTAGCATGCTAACCCAAGAAGTGGAGGACGACGATGCTGGGCGCGCTCGTCCGTGATGACGCAGTCGTTGCACTCAGAACCCTCTCAGTTGTTGCAAATGCTCGTTCTTGTCGCACGAAGAGCACAAGACCAAGAAATCACTTGAGGGTATTTCTTGAAATTATTTGAGGGTATTGTTTGTACATTCAAATATCTTGGGCTCCACCTCCTTAACAATATCTGTAGGTTTCTGGAGAAATAACCCGCGACGGTTGCCCAGCTCAACAGGTCCTTGAATTGGTGGCGAGTTCTGTGGTGCGGACGAGGACGGGCGGATAGAGAGGTAAAGACGGTATGGTTTGTGAAGGAACACTAGCAACAACAATACCACGATTGTTCAGTCCAAAACAACCCCGTGTTTGCAGGCAGGTAGTGGCAGAGGGCTGGGGGGCTTGCCTGGTAAGAGCGCCTCGGAGCATGGAAACCTTCATCTCGTCCTCCGTACGAACGTCGACCAGAAGCACTTTTTTCCCTTGGAAGCGTTTAGAAGCATTTCGATGCGTGGCGAAGGACCGCGTGAAGCAAGGAGCGAGTGCAAGGCTTGGTAGTCACGACCGCAAACATTTTCAGGAGGGAATTGCGTGTATAGATTGCGTATCAGGAGACGTTGCCTGATGTTGCGCTCGATTCGTGAAGTCGACGCCGAAAGGTGAGACGAACAAGAACAGCATTCGCACCGGGATGGCCACCTGCCGACGACAAAGGACGTACGTAACCGAGCGCACCGTCATGGTGCTGCCATTTAGAAGCACTTGAGGCCAAGCAAAGATAGCACCGCTCTCTCACCTTCTTGTTCTAGCCGCAGCACATCTTTGGCCGAGATTGTCTGGATATCTGCGAAGTGGCCCGTTGCCTAAAAAAAGAAGCACGGCAACGTTCGAACGTAATGCCGCCGTTCAAGACGATAAGGTCAGAAAATGAGCGCGACACAGATCTACGTCGACCAGGCTTACATACCGGTTGCACGCCACGGAGGCATCCATCGAACAGGCCGCAACAGAGAATACACCCGCATATGCATATGCCGAACGCCGGTAACAACTACTAGGCGATTTGATACGCGATGGATTGGATACGACACACAGTCCCGCGGAGGATGTTCGTTTCCACCACTCTGGTGCAAGCGCGCCGCGATCTCGTGCCTTCGCCCTCAATTTAGGACACCGCAAGTCAACCCCAGCGAGCCGTCCGTCGACAGCAGCAGTCAACACTCCTGCCAGCCGTTGCCTCAATCAAGACGGTGTTGCAGCAACCACGAAAACCTAGTGTCGACAGCGCGTGGCTGTGGGGCTGAGCTAGTGGTATAGGATGGAGGGACCCAGATACATGTTTGCCACGATTTTTTGTCAAGGCCCTCTCGTATTCAGCTGGTAGCTTGTGCTGTGATAATGAAACCATGTGGTCGGGACACACGTGTCATATCTCGTTATGACGCAAAAATTTACTGGAGTACTTACAGCAGTGGGAGGAGGATCGACGCGGGTCGCGCACGTCAATTCATCGAGGAGAAAATGTATGTAGCAGTCAACAGCGAACCTCAACAGAACGAATCTTACTATTCACTCTGCTGCATGACACCTACAGCCTAAATACGTTGAGATGCACACTCCCCACGTGACACTGGGCTTAACACCAACTTGCAGTACCTTTCCCCAATTGGGCAACTGGCATCGGCGAAATTCGGGAGCCGACAGATCGGTCCAACCTACATACGACATACCTTTCAGGGCGATGAGAGAATGGTGCATTTACAGGCCCACCTTGCTGTAGGGTTTGCCCCGCACCACTAAAGTGAACTCTGCGCTTCGTTGCCCTATCGCACATTTTTCTCTAGATTGCGGCAGGAGACCGTGGACGAAGAGGTCATGCCAAGGGAATGGTCTCCCCACAAGTAGACTACAGCAGACTACAAGTATCGTGCATGGACTACACAATGGAACCTACTCGGTGAAGCCGCTGCTGTCCCTAACGATTCGCTGCGATGATCTATCTGGGGTCAAAGCCTGAAGGAGCGACATGGAATTGTAGGCTTCCGTTCAACTCTAACACGATACATTCTGGTCAGAAATGGCGCTGCGTGTTGACACGAGAGACCTTGAGAGAAGCAAACAAAGGTTACGCAACTTGAATCAGGCACTAAAATAAATAGACTGCTGTGCTGCATATCGGATGATGCGGCACGTCACGCGTCACGCACACCTTTTCAACGCTAGCCCTGGCTTTCTCGTAGCTCTTAGACGTCGAAGCCATGACCCCGGGTGGCTAGACAAGAAGAACAGGAACAATGAGGGGCAGCACGGCAGCACCAGCGAGCAGCATCTGCGAACCCTCGTGCACCAGATGGCAAAGACGCTTGCATCATTTTCCCTGTTGCCAGGTTCTAGGCGGCGGGTATTGTGCCTTTTGGAAGATCTCGTCGAATGCATGCGATTGTTGATTGTTGGGTGTTGGACGCGGAGGGTGATGGATAGTTTAGACGAACATTAATAATGTACCTGTGTACCTGTGTTCGGAGAGGAAGAACACCTGTCGCTTCACTTGCGCCCACAGGGGGCGGTACTAGAACGGTATGGGCGAGCACGCGGACACCACTGGGCGACGATTCATTGATCCCAACGATGACAAGGTAGCGTTCCCTGTTTCCTTAGTTTGGCGACTTGGTGGACATGTTTGAATGTTGTTCTTGTAGCAAGATGCCCGCTCTTGGGGGCCGACATCGACGACTAGTTGGGAGGATCTTTGCTGCGATGCTAGTGACAACAGCGGCAAGAGCACAGAATTGGACAGATTCCGTAACATCTTTGTTTGCACGAACCTCAGCACACCGCGGTGAACCATGTGGATGCACCTCTGTCCGTCGTCGAACTACAGGAAATAAAGCTTGCTCCGCAACCACATAAGGGTGCCATGATAGAACACCCGACAAACCGAGTTCCCCTAAATCTTCCGCCCACAACTTCCCAACATAACATACAGATAGATACACAAGATGGTTACCAAACTGCCTTGTTGAGCCTGTTACCCACGGGGGAGATATCGTTGTATGCTGTCTGGGAAACCGTAGACATAGTGTACAGGTAGCTTTTCGCTCACGCTATGGATTCATTGCAATTCTTAGTATAGAGTTATTTCTAGACTATAGATAGAGATCGATTTGTTGTGTGATATTAAGAAAAAAAAAATAATAACTGCCAATCCGGTTTAGCGCGATGGCCTCAATACCGCTTGCAACATTTCGTGACACTAGGGACCGCTCAACCGGGATCACGACTGCTGTAGTTAGATACGACAGAAGTTGCCGTACGTCGTCGACTCTGTAAGCTACACGCACAGCGGAACCTGGGCCATGACGGCTAATCTACCCGGATGCTGACTGCCGACAGGTTGATTACAGCGACGACGAGGATGGATTATCGGAACTGTACGACGACTACGCATACGACTACAGCAACGAGAAAGCAGAAGAGGTGGGGTGTTTTGACACTGGTATGATAACCCCATAGAGCAAAGAGGGATGTTTCTTACAACCACTTCCCGAATCTTAATCTTTGGAGACTCCGTGGACGCGTGCCTCTCCAACTTATTTTTGTCGCAGTAGTCTTCAAAGAATCGGCCAACTCCACCGAGATGACAACCAAGAACTGTATGAGTTCTGGAGCGCAAGTTGCTGATCGCCTCGACTATCACTTGCAGCTCATTTACCCACAGAAAAAAACAGCTGGAACATGACACGTCCAAGAACGAGAGCGCACCGGAATCATTCATGTGCAACAGAGATATGCCGAATGTTTTCTCGACGTGTATGCTTACGGCTTGACCGGAAAAAGTGTTGCGTGTATACCTCTGGTTTTTCGTCCTGCTCCAAACATCAGGACGAAGAAGGCTTCCCGCAACACAACAATGAGGAGAAGGACGACGGCGAGGGTCAGGTTCTAAGCTCCTTCTACGAAGAAGATCAAGCGCATGAGTGAGCGATATGTGGTATGTAGCCCGCTGTACTCGTAATGCTCAAACCATAATGCTCAAATAAACCATATGGCCATACTTCGAAGTACAATTCAAGAACGGCACGACAGCACTGGTTGCCGGCGGTAGACTGGTTTGACCACATACCCATAAAAGAACACAGGTTTCGCATCAGACATTGGTGACCAAAGCTTTTGCTCTTGGTGGCGGGGAGAATCCTCCAGAAATGCACTCACGAAGAATGAGGCTCTCCCTCTGCGCGACACTCCCAACTTGCTCTGGTGGATCGTGAATGGTTGGGTCATTAACACCTCCTCCGCTATTCGCAAGACCTCGGGACACGCTTGTTGTACAGTCTCCGTTGGAAGCGATGCGCTACAAAGCGCGTTGTTAGTAAACTTGATCGACTTCATAAGTCGCGAGGGAAGGGATTGTTGTACCCTTCTCGCGATAAAAATTGACAGCGTAATCTCGCTGTGCACTAGCAGCAGTACGATGCTGCAGATGCCAGGAGGCTGTGTAGCCTACCTCAGAGGTTCACACTCTGCGCGGATCCAACCGCGAGAGACTTGGAATGGAAATATGAAGATGTTTTTATTAATTGTTGTGAGTCAGATTGATGTAGCTGGTACTGAGGAGGAGANGCTGCAGATGCCAGGAGGCTGTGTAGCCTACCTCAGAGGTTCACACTCTGCGCGGATCCAACCGCGAGAGACTTGGAATGGAAATATGAAGATGTTTTTATTAATTGTTGTGAGTCAGATTGATGTAGCTGGTACTGAGGAGGAGAGAGAGGGGTGGCGAGCTTAGGGCTGCACCACTCTCCTCGAATACCGGACAAATGTACCAATCATACGAAATATCTAGAATGCTTCCAGAATGATTCTGGAAGTCCTCCTACGTTCTAGAAAAGTATCAAGTGCAACCTAGGTCTAGAACGCTTCCAGAAGGTTCCATAAAGTTCCAGAAAGTTCCAGAAGGTTTCCAGAAGCTACACACGTTTTACGTAGATGTCCCGGTCGACCTTGACCTAGCATGCTTCTGGAATATTTTTAGAACAAGAGAATACATGCCACGGAGACATAGATTCTTTTCTACTGCTACGCAGACTAGTTGCTGCAATCGTATTCAAAGGTCAAACCGTGTCCGACTACTGGTGGTCTCGACGCACGATTTTTCCTGACGAAAAATATCTCAGGCAGGAACCGCAGGAGGAGGTCTAACCCCGCCCTCCTGTGTGAACCCGGTTGGGTCGTCTAGCTAGTAGAAGTGGAAGATAGCGGCCAGAGGGGCAGTCGACAGAATCCAATGATGGGAGAAAAAAAAAGAAACGCATGATTGTACCATCTCGTTCATCAGTTTTCATGGGTAGATCTCTACCTACACAGACAGACGATCTGCCTGCCTGGACCGGTAGCTCCGAATTGAGGTCACGTCACGCAGAAGTTTCCTCAGCGGAACACACATTGTTTCAGCCCGACAAGGCTCCAGCAGTCCCTTCCTTTGAGAGAGTACTCACGAAAAGTGCTTCTTTCACGGTGGTGGTTTCCGTGAGACGAAGACAAAAGCGAGGATCCGAAGTTCAAACTAGCGTTGAATTCATGTCACTTGTGGTATACCGTACGTCCCAAGCCAACGGCAAGAGAATAGGTGCCGGCTGTACCACCACTGTCATGGGTCTGCGTCTGGCGGAAAATGGTGCTTAAGTACGTGATGTGGTGTGCTGTTACCGTGCTTCTGGTCCGCTCGTGTGTGCCATGTCCATGCAGCGGTAGATGTGCTGGTGCCGAGAGTGAGGACGGCCAGGACGCCGGAATCAAGATCAGCCAGAAGGACGAGCATAGACTGCTGTAAGGACTCGGGAGTTGGTGTGAGACATGTAATACATGTACCTTGTCAGATGTTTCGCTGACATTGCATCCAGGAGAGTGTTTTTCGTTCTAGGATTTGTATGCCACAACGGAATCAACCCTTGGTGACCATTCCTGCGGTACCGAGCATGCCCTGCCAAAAGAAGCAAGGGTTGGAGCTTTGGAAAGGTTTCTGTGCAAGCGGCTGACCGATTACCATATGAACGCCTTCATGGGCAGTGATCGATCTATAGATCATGCCGTCGGTCCCGGCTACCATCGGAGAGGTTTCGAAGTTCACAAGCCTCTAACTAGGCGGTATGTCTCCGGTGGTAGCCGTCCCGGACCTGACAACCGAACGTTCTATTGATCCATACCCCTTGTGGTGCTCCCGTTTCACCTCGTTGCTCACTTGACGCCCATGGCACAACGCTACGGTCGTGAGAAGTGGGGCGTTTTTGCTGGCGGTTGATGGTGGTCTGGGTGGAAGCGGCGGAGAGAGTGAGGGTAGGGGGCGCTGCGACGAGCCCCAGCTGCCGACAAATGCCCCTGCTTGCTTAAAGAAGGCCTGTCGCGCTGCAGGCTGTTCGATGATGAAGTAGCTCACGGCAATGTTGTGTGGGTGTTGCATCAAGCAACGCGCGAACCGTGCCGAGGCAACAGACCTCAAAGAAGAGCTTTACTGTACTTGAAGGTCGACTGCATCAATGTTAGCTCCCCAGATGCCAGGAACAACCCTTCTCGTGATGGATCGGTGTACTTGTGAGGCCGCGTCCAAAACGTAGGAGTAAGTGCATCCGTTGCAAAAGCTGTAATGATTCTCGAGAAGACTCGATGAGAGCATCAAGCTGGAGTGCTCTCCGTAGGCGTCCGAGAGGATGTTGGAGACTGTTGTTGTTCGCGGGCTGAACCCGAAACGCTTGTTGGTGGTATCTAACAGCCTCAGTTTTTCCTATCCTTTTCTTCGTCGTTTGCACAGTTTACGACCATCGCTGCCTCGTTGGGGCTAAGGACCACTCGGGAGCGGTTAAGAGAAGACTTTGAGAAGGTGGGAAGCACTGTAGCACAAAGGGGCAATAGTGCGGAAATCGCATGCGTGTCGCGCGGTCTTTCTACCACGTTTTCCCGAACTTGCGCGGTGCGTCTTCCAGGGGTAGTGCGGTGACGGTGAAGAAGCATGTAGCTCTATCATCTTTGCTGCAGAACCACCCGTGATGTCAGATCTACCTCTTGGAGGAGCTGTTTCGTGCCGTGTATATAGAGCCCGAAATCGACCCAGACAAGTCAGTGCTGACTCGTGTAATGGTTGGATTTCGGATTCAAGACATAGCGTCGACGGGGTCCGTGACCAGTTTCTATTAACTCTCCATCTCAACGTCTTTCTAGGGTACTTTATTGGACCAGTCGCACACCTGTTCGTCGGCACTGGCTTCTAAAGTATGGGTAGGTCACAACCAAGTGTCTTCACTCCATTGATCACAACCCGCGATTGTCGCAAACTTTCCGGTCTA